ATCGGTTTACATTGGACAAAAATTTCACAGACCCGTAAAATGGCCGTGCGGGGGAGGGGGGGGGGTCTTGTGGATCGATTGGCGATTTCATAAATTTAACCGTTTCCATTCTTTTCAGAAGCAAACAGAACATAATGTAAGGGGGTTGTAAAAAAAATTGAAAATACATCATTTATTTTTAGAAATTAACCAACCCTTATTCAAAACCCCCAGCCCACTGGGACCAGTAGCAGTCTGCGGACGGAAGGTTGAGAACCCCCACTTTAGGTGACGCACCCCAGGGTGCTCCCCGGACAGCGACCCCCAAAGGCGGTCTTAAGAAAAGGATTCTTCCACTCTACTAGACTGATGCAGGCCCTCCGGATGGGGTTGCTGAGGCTCAGACAGAAGAGGGCGCGCTGTGGCCTGCTGTTACTTCCGCCGCTCGGCTTCTTGCTCTTGGCGTACTGCTGCCTCTTCTTCTGGGACAGCGACGCGACCGGGACGGCACAGCTGGCGCTGGTGCTCATGGTCTGGGCGGCCCGAGCCTGCTTGGCGGCATGGATCGCGGCCTGCCAGGAGAGAGCGGTCGGCGGGGGGCCTGCAGAGCAGTCTGACCAGAGGGTCGGCACGTCACCAGGGATAGGGACTCTAGTGCTGCTGGCATAATTTGCCCCTGGGAGGAAAAAGAAAAGCAAAAGATGCAAAAAAAGACTAATGATGCAGAGGTCAAACTCAACAGACTTGTACATGTTTCGAATGCATATGAAATACGTGATGGAATCTTCCTGCTCCCGGACAACCAGAATTTATTGCCTCTGACAAGCAGCAGATACTAATATGTGTTATTTTTTTGTCTGAAATGCAGGAGATGTGGGCGGAAGTACAACGGTCAATGTAGGATTTATATACAAGTTTTCCTACTCCAACAAGTGCCTTTTTAAAGACAGGCATATTTAAGGATGCACTTTCTTAAGTTCACCAATAAGAATTTGCAAAAACGAAAGCCCCCATCTTCTCATACACTACGCAAATTCATTGCATTCCTTTTGTCCCTATTTCGGATAACTGAAATATAGTCTTATTAAACTGCACCCAAAAAAGGGTGATTATATTGTGACTGCAAACAGATGTAGTCGCGGGGCTAATTGTTGTAAAGGGGGACCTATCATTATTAATTAAGTTAATAACCAGATGCTTCTATCTTAAGTGACTAATGCAGTCTGTCATTTACATGGTCTAGTTTCTGACTGAATACAACACTGATCGGGTTATGTACATGCTACTGCAAGATCCCGTGAAACTTCCAGCAGCATGCATTAAGTCACAAGTTCCCTAACTACCACATCTTTTTAAAGGATTCCAATTAAAATGTCGCAATTCACGGTATTACACAAGCAAACAGAAAGCATTAACTAAGAAGGATAAAACGTCTGACAGAGCGGTTCTTATGTAATGCTCTCAAAACAGAATCTGTAGGCAAATATGATTTTGCTGCAAAATTTTATACGGTTCTCAAAAGCACCCCAAACGTATTTGCTTGTGGTCTGTTCTTATGAGAAAAATCAATACAAAGGTTACCTATAGGAAAGCTTAATCATTTGCCAATGACAGAAACAGCTGTGACATTATTGAATTGTGACCAAAATTAGGTGCATCAGATATCGACAGTTTCAGTGCAACCAGTGAGCTTCTGATGCTCCCAGTATATTTGATATCCTTTTAACTTTGAAGGTACAATAAACAGGCAAATAGCTGTCGACGGAATCTGGGAGTAACTTGTTTAATTTGACATGCTATGACACAAAACAGTTTTCCAAGTCAAACCCTACCTAAATTCAGCGTGTTTCAATGGAACCCAAGCGCAGTCGCTAAAATAAAATAAACAGTGATCATGGACATTACAAATAGGATTTTAATAGCCTAACCTAAAATTATACCTTTCAGGTATTAAATAGAGACAGGCTTTTCGGCCTGTAAATCATCCATATAATCATTCTGCAATTATATTAAGCCGATACATTTTATGAAAAAAAAATCCCTTAATGAACAATTATGAAAACACTGTGATGCGCCCGTCCGATGGTGCGTCTGACCTCGCTAAGAACAGCCGGCACATTGCTAGGTTACTGATTCAATTAATTCTTAAGTGCTTCATTTCTGCGCCACTGTTTCATTGCATCTTATGGAATTATTTCAATCGTAAAATAAAACAAAATCATACGTGTATAACTAAAAGAAACACATGACAAGTGACGTCAATTCTCCACTAGAATTAAGCGTTGCAGGACCGCTCTGACCTTAAATTTAGACTACAAGTTGCCCAAGTTTGCAAATATCGCGAATGGCTTTAAATATTATACTACCTCGCCAAATATCTCAAAATGAGACGCGCATCACGGACAAAACGGTCGATACTGTTTAGGTTCAGATACATCATCTGTATAAATAAATAAATACATACCTTTCTGCAGACTGTTTCAAGCAAAGGACTCGGATTTGTCCACACTATTCAGAAAATGCATTGCTCTTGCAACAGAAATGACCGGCGTCTGGGTCGCAAGCATCGATTTGGGAAATGCATTATCTTTAAAACAGGACAGATTCGTGCGCGTTAATTAAAGCCATATATACCGCAGAATAGAGCGCTGAAGCTACCTCGCCTAATGCTCCCGGTCGCCTATCCTTAGGTAACAGAACGTGTGGGCTTATTCAACACATCGCTGCGATTTATCCAGGGACCTGAAGCTGTTCCTCTGGTCCAATTCTCTTTCCTCGCGTACAACCTTAAACCATAAAATGCCCGAAATGAAAAGCTCTGGCGACAATATTGCAACGCCTCCGTTTTAAACTCGCGCAGATTTAGTGCATTGCATTCTAGGATGTAGTTATTCTTCAGAGTTTCGTCTAAAAGATAACGACATCCGGGTGCTGCTTTGACGAGATGGATTTCACACAGTATTAACTCCAAAAGAGGAACGTATGTTAATGTATTTTACTCCTATGTTTGTAAAAATCATTTTGTTTCCTTCGAAATTTATTTTTAAACGGCAAATCCCGAGTCCATCTTGCACAAAAATCACAAGCTTCGTCCGCAGAGAGGCATCCGTTTCATTAAATAGGTGTTTCCGAGTAAGGTTTTAAGAGAAAAAAATATTGATTGTGGATTATCTCTGATTTTGATTCAAAGTGGACAAACTATTGATCGGAACATTAGTCTATGAAGACTACGTGACATATGCACAAGTAAGGTAATAATGTGAAACTATATAAGAATTTAATTTGATTATGTCAAATGCATGTACATACATGTACAAACCAGTTTTATACACACACACACACATATATGTATTCAAATTTGTGTATGACACTTTGACTACTTAAATGTCAAGTAGAGGCTATATTAAAGACGAAAAGGTGAAAAAATAAACATTTAAAAACAAAAGAGATAATACATGTCCATCTATCCATATTCCATATTCCGCTTATCCTGATTCGAGGGGGTGGGGGGCCGGCTTGGAGCTGATTCTGGGCAGTACAGGGCACAGGGCACAGGGCAGGGGTGTAATGCAGCTGTTCCTGGTAATGCTTACATATGACCAGACATTTACTATTTCATTGTAACTTGCTAATTTGACAAGTAAGCCTATATACTGACATCCAAAGGCTTGTACAAACTTGTGTCCTATGCAATAAAAAATTCACACCTCAAACTGTAAGCCTAATTTCCTCTCTTTCCAAGACGAGTGCTGCAGAAGCGTGTGCTTTCTGGTGTTAAAATTGCTTATAGTCCATTGGGAAGAGTTGAGCTTTCAACTGCTTAATCTCAAAGACATTTTAACAAATGATATCTATCTTTCTGTCGCACTCCATATAAATAACTGAACTTGTTTCACATATCGAAGTTGTTTTTTTTCTTATCAATTTAGTGTTTATATCAACAGCATAATTGGTGTTGGCATGCTTTCTGACGTGTATAAGTACAAATATATCAATAGTGTAAAACTGATATATGTCCACTTCTTACGTGAATGTGAATATTTAAAATTTGAAGAACACCGAAAAGAGATTTTATGCAACAGACCACTAACGTACAATTTGTTCTCAATCTACGATTGAATTTAGTTGAATTTCCTAGTCTTGTTTTGTTTATATTATTTATATAAATCGAATTTCTTACCCTAACGTCTTGGAAGCCCGGTAAGAAATGCAATGCATCTTAATTCTTGCTCGGGAAACTTAACAAGTTTAATATAAACTATTCTGCATGGTAGCGGTACTAATGAAATGGCACAGTAGGTCTTAAGGTACAGGATATTGGATTACCTGCCTGCACTAGATAACGATTACACAGAGGTAATCCATGATTATTAATCTCTCTCAGGCCCGGGACAAAATTACTTAAACCGGGTCCCCATGACGCATAACCCCTCTCACCAGGGCCCTCTTCTGGGTCCTGGGCAAGTTCCCCAGTTGCACCCCAAAGACGGCATCCCTGAACCTTCTTCACAGAAACAAGGTGTTAAAATCGACCTATGTCAACCAATGGCTAGTCAACGGGTTGTTTTCCAATCATATATAGGACATGTTAAAAGGTTTTACTTTTTGTTATTATTCCAAACTAATTCAATTTTTTTTTCACATCGGAAAAGATTTTACACAACGGGGGCGACAAATCTTGTCATTCTTCGGGGTGGTTTGACAATAAAAATATTTAAAGCATTAGGAATTTTTTTTCATCCATCCATCTTCTAACCGCTTGTTCGGGATCGGGAGACATTCATTAATGCTTTCATTAATTATTACAAACTTTACAAAGTATCACTGTTATCATGTGCATCATAGCTTTAATAAAAAGAAAATAACAGAAAACGCATATTTTAATCACATATTTTAATCGTCACAAAACGTTAACGTATTGAATATATAGAAATATGGTGATTTTTCTGCACGAATTAGTAGCCTGAATAGGAACTAATTTAACGAAAGCGATTCTCTCCGAGGGAAGAAGGACTGGTGTTCATAGAATTCCTTCCGTGTTGCTTCTTGCCCTGGGTTTCAGAACCCAAGATGGAGGCTATCAGTAAAGCTGGGCATCATATGAGTCTAGCAGCACTACAACAGCACGACCCTTACATTAATAAAATCGTCGATGTTACCGGACAGGTAGCACTGTACACCTTTAACTCAAAAACAAATGAATGGGTAAGAACATGCCTCTTTTGAAACGCGAGCGGCTAGTTAGTCTGAATGGCTATAGCTAATGTTAGCTACCCAGCTAGCTTCGCAAAATCCGTTAGTTTTCTCTAATGAAAGTATGCAGCTACCTGGTTAGTGGCCAGACGACATCGCTTTTCCTGTTTCTATCAGTTGCTGGGGTCCAGCGGTTTTATTTCCTCCAATAGACCTAAGTACATTGACGATGTAAATAAAATTGTGGAGGTCGCTAATGAAGCTTGGGTAAGCTAACTACTAGTAGTTGTGTTTTCGGCAAGTTTACTTGCTGCCGTTTTGAAGATAAGTTTTATCAGCAGCATATGTACAAGTCAGTTCTTATCAGTCCCTGCAGTATATCTAGCTGTTATATCATTTTTGTACCAAGTTGATGAAATGAATTATAATGCCGTTTTTCTGGTTCATCTGTTAGCTGTGACGTTGGTTTGTTAATGTTAGTCAGCTACATATGTTAATTCATTTACATTTTTTTCAGGAAAAAACTGATATTGAGGGCACGTTGTTTGTATATACCAGGTAAGTATTATGACCCGAGTTCTTGCGAAAAATACCCGATTGATGTTTTGCATGCATGTGGTCAGTTTTGCTTTTAATTGTGATGTACAGGAACATGTTCTCCTCTGAACATTTATTCATATAAACACTGTATATTGTAGAAGTGTTACACTTGTATAAATGGACTTGGCTGCTTTTCGTCTAACTTAATGTGCACTGTCGTGCACGGCGATCGTTTCACTGGTTTCCTTATTTCCACGGGAGTCATTAGAAGTTGCGAAGTTCTCAATTTGGTATTCGGTAAAAGCTTCAGCAAAGGGTTTAACATTTTAGAAGTTGGTTTCAGATATTATTACAAATTATATATACTACGTGAGAAGACTTGCTGTTCAAAAATGTTTGACTGCCCGTAATGGACAAGATGCACCTGAGGAAGATTAATAAGTCATCTTGTGTGAAATGCTGCTGAAGGTACATAAAGTGGAGTAATACCGTTTTCAGGTGTAATTAATTCTTGCTCTCGCTTTGAGACTTGTTGGCCTCTCTAGTCTCTACCAGGGTAATGTGCTATATGTGTGATATATTCCAGGATAATAGTTGACAGCATTGCTGTATACTCCAAGCCTGCTTGTGTTTCACTGGACTATAGACATAGTGCCAAAGGCATTTAGGGGAGCGCCTAAATAGTGTGTCTTTGTAGTTGTCCATATAATTAGGGAATTCTAAACCAAAGCAATAGGCTGGTTGTTACTTTTAGTTTGAATACTAAACTGTGTGATTACTTATGACTTCAGAAATCCTTTTATTCAGACATGTCTGCTTACAGGTCTGCCTCGCCTTACCATGGCTTCACGATTATGAATCGACTCAGCATGGAAAATCTAGTGGAGCCCATAAATAAAGACCTGGAGTTTCAACTACAAGACCCTTTTCTTCTCTACAGGAACTCCAACTGTATGTACTGCCTAATTGTGAGAGTCTGTGGGTGTTCTGTTATAATGCATGAAGGTGTAATGACAATATGCAGAAGACTGTGTCACATGCTTCTTTTTATGCATATTGATGTGCAATTTAAGTGGCCTGGCAATGCTTTGTGTGACAAGTTACCTATTACTTTTAGTTTATCAGTCACATAGTGGGATTTATTCATGAATTTCATTAGTTGTGTGTTTGAAGGATACATGTTTCGTTTCGTTAGGCGATTTCGTCATTGTGTGAATATCTTAGATTGCACTAGCACAAACCTAGATGGTAAAGACTGCTGCACACCTAGGTTTTATGATGTAGCCTAAATAATGATAAAAAGTACAGTAAATAGATATACCAGTAACACAGTCGTTTATCAAGTGTTGTGTACTGTACGTAACTGAATGTGCTACTGTTTTATACGACTGGCAGCACAGTTGTTTGTTTACATCAGCATCACCACAAACACGTTAGTAATGCGTCGTGCTACAACGTTGCATCAACTACAATGTCAGTAGATGATAGGAATTTTTCAGGTCCGTTATGGGACCAGCTTCATATATGCGGCCCATCGCTGACCAAAACCTTGCTATGCAGCACATCAACATGATGCCGTTATATTACGCAGCACTTTTTTAGTTATGGCTTTTTCTATTGTCAAAATGTGGCAGGATGTGCAGTGAAGGCTTTTTCCCTGCTATTGCATTTTGTATGCCAGATTGAAAAGTTTCAGTTGTCCATACCAGAAAACATCTGGGCTAATCTAACATCATATTTGTCTATTCCTTAAATGCTGGGCCTATATAAAGTCACTGAAAGCATTATAGATGAATACTTAGAAATCAAAGAATGGTTTTCTATAGATATGGTGTAAGGAAAAATGAAGTGTCTCAGGTCCAGTGACTTATCTTTTTGCTTGTGATTCATTTAGTGGAAATTTGTCAGCCTTAAATTAAAATGCCCATAAATAGTGTGTCTTTGTAGTTGTCCATATAATTAGGGAATTCTAAACCAAAGCAATAGGCTGGTTGTTACTTTTAGTTTGAATACTAAACTGTGTGATTACTTATGACTTCAGAAATCCTTTTATTCAGACATGTGCTAAGTCTCCTCCTTAATGCTCTGGTTTCTTGTTTGGCATAATAGTGGAAAAACTGTGTTTGAGGCTCTAGCTAGATTATATTTGCTTCCTGAAAGGGGAATGATTGTATCTGTGTCAGGCTGCAATGACAGCTCCCCACATCTATATCCGAGCCTCCACAACTACACAAGTTTCCCAGCAGGAGAAGGCAGCGTTGTCATTTTTCTCCTGCCAGTTGGTGTGAGTCCACCTGGAAAGGAGGTGCCTCGCATCCCTTTCTTTCAGCAGTCCTTCCGCCAATTCTGCTACCCCCGGCTGCATGGCTCTTCTCGCTTAGAGTTTACTTGGCAGCAGACTTTGCCGGCGTGCATTTTAACAGCCGTCGTGTGTCCAGAAGGCACACATTGGTCCGGGAGGGGGGAGGAGGTACTCCACCGCATGTTAATGTGACTGGGTTTTGTCTGGGATTAATCTTTTGTTAAAATAGTATGCTGTTCTGACCTTACTTTCTTTAGCCTCCTCCTTTGAAGTTAAAAGAGGCACAGAGGGGGTCCATGCATCTTCAGAAATCACTTATTCGATTACGGTTAGTGCGATCTGGAACCTGTCCTAGGGGACTTGGGGCAAAAGGTTGGCCTTAAGCTCACCTGCTGTCAGACCGTATTTGGGCATTTGTGCTTCAAATGCTTGGAGGGGGGACGACGACGACAAAAGCCTACAGAGTAAGGGCAGTTCAGAGTCAGTGGTTCACCTGGACAGCATATGTGGAAAGGAAAGAAACCAGTGTGGCAGCCCACGTGAAGACAAGGAGAGCGCAGGGAAACCATGCATAAAGTCACTCAGTGAGCTGGGCTTGGACTTCAACCAGCGACTGACGAAACGCCATTGCCTTCCTCTCGCGGTGTATGTATTGCACGTATGCATGCAGACGTACCTGATGTGTACACGTACATGCATATAAAGCGGCAGAGTCATGCAAAGCTACAAAGTTTTGGCTCAAGGTGGAACTCACCTGTTAACGCGTTGAAAAAACTTCCCAAATCCCTCTCGAAAACAACTTTCCCCTCGCAACGGAGGTCGGCCTCCTGGTGCGGAAGCCTGTTAATCAGGAGCAGCTCCATGGAGGGATCCAAAAGACTCATTTCCCAGTCTCCGATAAGCCCCTGGCAGGGGGTAGGTGGGCAGGGGGGTGCCCACTTCAGCAGAGGATTGGCGGCGGTGGAGGTTTAGGTTCCTGTGTGCCGTCACCCACGCGAGAGTTGGCATTCGGCCGGCGGACCGCGGTGCCCACTGTCCATGTGGCCTCGCTCCACCGCGGCACCTGTGGATGGAGTAGGAGAAGCAGGCCTGGGCTGAACCACAGCATCCGCCTGAGGGTGGCATCCAGCGTATTTCACATGGCCAGCTTCTGCATCCCTGAGGAGATCTTTATATATATATATAAATAAAAGAAAAGGCCTTGAATTCTGAGCTGTTTTTGGGAAAGAATATTTTTGGAGACGGCAATGATCCTGGTGTCGTCTTCAGTCGAGTGGCGCTGCCTCCGCCGTGGCTGGGTTGTCAGAACAACCGAACCCCTCCCCCCTGCGCGGATTAGCTCCGGCAGCAGCCCCCCCCGCCCCCTCCGGGGAATGGCACGGGCCGTAGGAGGATGACGAGGCTGTCGGTGCAGAGAGGAGGCCGCGTCTGCCACGTCTTTGTGCCGGCCGGGCAGGGAGGGAGATGGGGCTGCTCCCAGCAGGAGCTGTCGCCTGGCAGAGCGCCTCCTTCCTGGCCCCCGCCTGCCCTCGCTGCTCCCCAGGTGCTGCTGTTGCTAGGTTTCCTGCTTGGTTAATGCGAACTCAGCCCATGTCTGGCCGCCGGTCCAGGCTGTAAACTGGTCCTCATCTTCGCTGCTCTTTATATTCGAACGCCATGCTCTTTGGCTGGGTGTTGGGGTGGGGCAGGCATTGCATAGGGGGGCCAGTACCCTGTTGGGGGAGGGGGGGGATTGAGGGGGCTGGGTGTCACCCCTCTGCTGGTGTAACAGTGCTCTTGGGGGGGGTGGGCTGGGTGTCCCCCCTCTGCTGCTGTAACAGGCTTTTTGGGGGGTGGGGGGGTGGCTGATTGTCCCCCCTTTGCTGGTGTAACAGTCCTCTGGGGGGGTGGGCTGGGTGTCCCCCCCTGTGCTGCTGTAACAGGCTTTTTGGGGGGTGGGGGGGGTGGCTGATTATCCCCTCTTTGCTGGTGTAACAGCCCTCTGCCCCCCCCCCTCCCCACACACACATACTCACATACTCCCAACCATGCTTCCCTGTTCCCCATTCCTGCCTTCCAGGAACTCCCCCCATTTTTTTTTGTGTCTTCAGTTTCTGTGCTTTTTGCCTGCTCTCCATAATGCGCTTTATGCGTTTGGTGCTGCTGCTTTCGTCTCCATACATCCTAAAATCTTGGTTTGGGTTTTTTTTTCCACCTCTTACATCATGCTGTTGCCGTAGCGGTTGTTTCTGCAGAGGCTGTCTGTTCTTTTCTAATTATGACAGTGTTGCTTTGGATACTTGGTGGTAACCATGGTTACCGGAGCGGTAAACTGTACCAGAGCTGCCCTCCTTCTCCTGGCTGTCTGAAGGAAGGATTTTTGCATTGCAGATGAGAGTCACAGACAAAGGAAGGATAGGGACTGTGTCAGCTCTGGGTCTGGCCCCCTGATGGCCAGCTTCGGTCAGGCAGCTTACCTGAGGCTGCGTCCATCAGAGTCCCCACTATAGGGATTCGCTATATAGCCCCCCCCACCTTCAGTAACTCGTGCTGCGTCTGGTGCGTGGTGTAAGACAGCCCTGTGTGCCTGCTCTGATTGCCCATTTTGGGCCATTTTCCCAGTGATGGTCTGTTTATGAGCAGCTTTGAGGTTTTTAAATCACGTGGGCTTACAGTGAGCTGTTCTGACCGTCTGCTCAGGGCACTGAGCCCACGGCCAGGCCAGCTACCTTGGGGATAATGTGCAAATGGCCTAATGGAAAGCTAATGTACCATGCTATTGGGCTTTGTGTCCTGTGGGTAATAGGGCAGCCGTACGGGATTGGCAGTTTGAGATCTGGCTTTGTCACAGCCTCCACCCCCCCCTCATCTGATGTCAGACTGCCCCCCCCCCCCTGCTTCCTGGCTGTTTGCCACACTGGTCACGTTGACCACTTCCTGACGGGCATCCACATCGAGGCAGCGGGAGAGGTCACCATCTGCAGAAAGCCGCTGACCCCCAGTCAGCCCCCTCTGTGCCCCAGTCCCCGGCCGTCTGTGTCTTTTTTGTTTTCCTTCCAGTTCTCCTCTTTTTTTTATTCCCCCCTGCACTTCAGAGGGTCATTAGGGCAAGTTGGAATAGCCAAGGGGGGGTCAGCAGGTCGTATCCTTGACTGAGCCCCTCGCTATAAGAACATAAGAAATTTACAAATGAGAGGAGGCCTTTGGGGAGAACTTTAACTAACAGCTCATATGGAGGGGGACCCCATGGATGTGACTAAGGATGCCTGTAGCTGTGCCCATTATTTAACTGTTTCTGCTGTGTTGTCTTCGGCTGTGCTGTTTAGCGCCGCGAGGTGGACGTGGCCGGAGCCGGGGCCGTCTGCCTGAGCAAGCTTTCCGCCTCGATGTCTGCCGTAGAGACTGTGTGGAAAAGCGAGTCTTTAGGGGTTTATTCCTGTGAGCTGCTACTTACTTCTGTGTATGAATGTGTTTGCTCCCTCCTGTCGCCACGTGACGTGCTGCTCTGGCTGCGCTCAGCCTCGCCCCCGGTGCTTTCTGTTTATATAAAGTATGTATACATGTGCGCGCACACACAGAGTAAACATTCTGGTGTCAGGGACACTCTGAAATCAGCCTGTTTGAGGTTTGTCATCAGACACGTGTCAAGCTCCTGAAGGTGTGTGTGTGTGTGTGTGTGTGTGTGTGTGTGTCTTCGTCTTCTAAGGGAGCCACGAGCCATTCCGCTTGCAGCACTGTCCTCCTTAGCTTATCCCAGCCCCTTAACACTCTGTCCTCTCCCTCATCACAGTGGCCATATACAGCATCTGGTTCTACGACAAAAACGACTGCCAGCGGATCGCACAGCTCATGGCACGGTGAGTAACTCCAGACGGGGGCGCTGTGCCGCCTCTCTCCGTCCCTCTTTCTTTCTTGGGCGTAACTCATCGGCCAAAACTCATGCCCGAAACCCTCGTCTGGGCGCCAAGTGGACGATCCGGCGGCCTGTAGGGTGAAACGTGAGCCAGAAGTGTGCCCTCGTGTGTTGCCGGGTGGTGACCTTGGAGTGTCGGCGATCCTGGGGGCCCTCGTGTGTTGCCGGGCGGTGACCTTGGAGTGTCGGCGATCCTGGGGGCCCTCGTGTGTTGCCGGCTGGTGACCTTGGAGTGTCGGCGATCCTGGGGGCGGGGCCTGGCCATCGGCACATGCGCAAGAGCTTTCTGCATCTCCATAGCAACTGCGTTCGGTACGCTTGTGTGCCCGCGATGAGTATGAGCACTGAGGACCGTTACTGATGTAATGACCGTCCCCCCCCCATGTGCCACTGCTACACACATGCATGTATTCGTCCGCCACACAGCGGAACTCCTCCTTTTCATCCTGCCGTTTGCTTAGAGGCGCCAAGTTCTCAGGGTGTGCGTGTCCAAAAAACAGCAGAATGAATCAGCAGCTGAATGCGGGACGGCAGCTCGATCGCGGCGCTGTCACGCTGCAGAACACCACTGTCACCATGTGACTGCCCCTCCCCCGCCTGTGCAGGTATCCGCGCTGTCGCTTAGGCGCCGTGTGACGGACATTCACGGCAGGGACACGTCTCACTCATCAGGTGATGCTCCTAGTGCAGCCCGCATAGTAATTATCACCATGCACTCCCCCTGGTGGCAGTCATCTTTGTTTCACTTTTAATTGCTCGGTAACGTGCATCGCTGCGTCGGCTGTTTGCCCCTCTCTGGTTCCGCCCTACAGACAGGACAACAGAGGTGTCCATGGTTGGCAGATCTGCACTGCGGAATCATGGTCCTTTTCTGAAACATCAGTTCAGGACACTTGAGCCCATTAAATAAGCTCCCCCCCACCCTCTGTGGGGTTTGTGTGCTGTACCATTGACAGATTTTGTGCACGGATATAGCGTCAAATCTTTAAAGCTGCTTTGTTCCTCCGGTGTGTCATTTTTGTCATGTCGAGTCGTAGAAATGAGTGATGGTTATATAAATCTGCATGATGAGGTCGGATCAGGAGCGTTTATGAATGTTTTATATACCTGTTTCTGGGTCACAATGTCACCATGCTACCCGTTTGGAGCTGTTTTTGATTTTACTTCGATTGTGATTTTAAACTGTCGAAGGTATCGTGACCATTTATCGTGGGGCCTCGTGCTGGAGGAATTCAATACACCGCTAGTTAATTTAAGGAACTTCTCACCTGCTTTAGTTCATGCACGTGTCGAGAAAAGTGAAGGATTAGTCCTTTCAGTGTGATAACTTGGAATTGATGGCAACAAAGCTAAAAATATTTCCCCCGCAGTCCCCCTCCCCAAAAGCGGCACTTGGTGACATCTATGGGGGCCTTTTGTCTCCTCCTCTCACGGAACTGGGTGTGATTTGTTGCTAAACCACCCACCTCTCGCGGGCCTCTCCAGTAGCTGACGTCTGCTGCAGCATGCCAGAAGGGGGGAGGAGGGGCGATCGCATTCGGACTCACTTTCCACGCAGTGGGGCTACCTGGCCGCCTCTGACTGCCTGCTCCAGATCTCTGTCTGAGCTGCTTCTCCATCTGTACCTTACTTACGCAGAGCAGTGTGGCCATTAAAATGAGCAAAACTAGCTACTTGTATCAAAATCTAATTGTACCCAGTGCTGTTTATTTCCCACTATTGGCTGCACTTTAAGGTCAGCAGTACCTTCCTTTTGCCCGTTATGCAGCGGTTAGTTGGCACGCCAGCTCCCTCGCATCGGGGTGCATCTTGGCAGAGTCTGACCTTCAACTGACACGTGTGTCTGCACCCAGGGTGGTGAAGCAAGAGGCCCTGCAGGCCCGGCAGCCCCCCCAAGACTGCAGTACACTCAGCCAGACCAACGGCTGTGTGGTGGAACGTCCCATCGACATCCTGGAGCTACTCAGCAAGGCCAAGGAGGAGTACCAGAGGGTGAGGCAGACCTGTCCGTGGCCTTCAGTGAGGGGGCTGGGGTCTCCGCTGTATCCTCAGAGCAGCATATTACACCTCAAAGGCTGCATCATACAGTAGCTCATCATACTGATCACAAAGTGCAGCGGGAAACACGAAGCGAGGGCAGGAGTGTCTCGGTGACACCTTGCCCGTTGTTCGAATGTCATTTACTGTATATGCTGATATTCACTTCCCAGTTCTACATGGACAGTGATCTCAGATGTGTGGAATGAGGAGTTACCCCCCCCCCAACTATAATATTTGTGGCCTGGATTGCCCTTTTTTAAGTTTAGCTATATGTACCAATGAGCCAAAAGATTATGACCACCACCAGATTTTCGATGTAATAGACGGTATATATTAGACGGTAAGTTAGCCTTTAGTATTCATAATTGATGCATGGAATGTAGAGGAAATGGGCAGAGATAAGGATCTGAGTGACTTTGGTAAGGGACCAGATGACTGGTCCTGAACATCTTGCGGTCAGCTGTAGTGAGTACCTGCCGATAATGGCCAAAACTCATTGATGCAAGATTTGAACGAAGGCTGTACCCATCTGGTACGAACCATCAGAGGGACTACTGTGGCGCTAATCCCAAATTATTTTAATGATAGTTACAGGAATAATGTGTAAAGAGTATCAAGCCTTCTGCACACGGGACTGAGTAGCCATGGATCTGACAGGGTACGAATGGTAAACTACGTCTACCATCGAAAGGACCTACTTATGGGCACCCTACTGTTGGAAATGGACTTCGGGTCAATGGAAGAAGGTCGTCTGGTTCGTTGAAGCCCATTTTCTGTTGCATTATGTGTACGGCTGGGTATGTGTCAAGCATCTGTGGGATGTGCTGCAACAAGTCTGATCCGCAGCCGCGAAGCCCGTCTGACTCCGTCATCTGGCCATAACTATTGGGCCCAGGGTTTCCGCGGGTCTTAAAAAAGTCTTAAATTTACTCTTAGAAAACCTGCAGAAACCCTGTGGGCCCTTATCAAAGTCACCCTAGTCTTTACTTCCGCCTGTTTCTTCTGTATTCAACACATCAGCCATGAGCACCGGATGTTGGCTTACCTTCCAATACATCCCAGACCAAGACATGCGCCTTTTTTACAGAATGAAACCAAGGACATTAATATGAAGTTGATCAGCCTGTTGTTGCTGTAATAGCTTCTGCTCTTCTGGGAAAGAATTCCATTAGATGTTGGAATATTGCTGGTGGGATTTGCCTCCATTCAGGTTAGGTATTGATGTTGGATCTTTAGGGTTCTTCCTGGGTGCTTGTGTGGCTACCTCTTAAATGAACTTACGCCCAGACGTTTTGACGTGTGATTGACCACAGCAGGGCAGGAGTTTGCACCCGTGTCAGCAAATAGGTGTGGCTTAACTCGCCAATTCCTGCAATCAAGAGTGGCATCTACATACTTTTGGCCATACAGAGTGTGTTTGTGTGTGTTTGTATAGATAGTTTTGGGAACTAAAAGGACTTGCACACTCCATTTTTCAGCGATCAGTCGTGAGACGGCTCTCGGTGTAGTGATTTCGGTCCATGCCATGCAGTTGGAGACAGCCCCCTTTAGAAGCATGAGGCAGCTGTGGATGTTGGATTCTTGAGGACAGGCTTACGAAGATGACATCTCTAGCTGTCATGTTTATAGTAACTCTCAGTATTTCTTACAGGCTTAACTACTCATTCCTTACCATTGGCATTGCTCATAATAGCAATTTCTTCCTGCAGTTCATATCTTGGATTGCAGTTCTGTGTTATAAAGATCGTGATATTTTTTGGGAAGATTGCCTACCCCTACATAAAAGGAAGGGTAAATGTAAATTTTCAAACATTTGATTATGTAACAGTGGGCCATGCTGCCATCTAGTGGATGTGTAGTAATTATATCGAAGTGAACTATAATCCTGGATTACTGGATATTGATCTGCATCTTGAAGGTGAGGAAATCTGTTTTGTTCTTTCCAGAGCCGCGTCTGTGAGTCTGATTTGTCAAGCAGCGAATTGGTGGCGAACCATGACTTGCCAAGGACTGCACTGGAGCAGGCAGCTACAATACCACAGCACGAGAAGGTCAGGACTCTGTTCTTCTTTGAAGCCTGATTGAACCACAGCCTGGTCAGCTTTGTATTTAGAAACTGGTAGTCAAGTCGTGTCTCTCTCAGCTAAAACCTGATTCCTCGCCAGTCAAGGAGGTGTGGAAGTCTCACCTGTAGCATGGAGGATATGTCCTCTGATGGAGTGTGACGGCTGCCATGTTCTCCCCACAGAACTCCCACTCTGGCGTGAAGCAGATCACCGTGGAGGAACTGTTCGGAAGCTCTTTACCAAAGGAGCAGCCCCCGCTGGGGTTCACCAGCCAAGGAGTGACTGAAAAGGGGAAGCGCGACTGCCTCGGCCACACCCTCCCCCTGGAGGCCCCGCTGATTCCCCATCTGCACATTGACCCTGGGGGGGGGCGCTTGGGCACCGCTTCTGCCCTGACCAACACCGAGCAGCACTTTGGCTCGACAGAAGAGAAGACCACCCCCAGCTACCCTCTTCGCCCCAGCCCGGTATTCCACTCTGGGGGGCCTGGGGACACCTGTGCCCAGCCGGTCTCCCCGCACCTTGTCGGGTTCCCGGGCCCCAAACCCGCTGCTCCCGTGACCCGACCCACACAGCTGACCTCCGGTAGCTCGGCCTACCTGCCTCAGGAGGTCGTCGGGCAGCTCAAGGTAGTTGCGTTGCCCTCAGCTGCCCTCACCAAGCCGCCTTTGGCACCCAGCTTCCTCCCTTCCCTGCTGGCCACGCCTGAATGCTTCAGGGAGCCTGTGGTCAAGGCCGCGCCCTACAGCACCACTCTAGCAGCCCCCGGGCAGGTAAAGTTGCTCCGTTTCCATATTAGGGTCTTGGCATTTGAGCAAGTCTCACAGGATTTAAGACCATTGCTAACCTAGCATCTGCGCTAATCTCATATTGGAGTTTATTTTACCATTTTTTTTGTTTTAGCAAACTGTTCTTGACCAGAAATGTCTGAGACGTGATACTTTGAATTTCTTGATCATCGTGGCTGGATACATATGAGAATGGCTCAAGAATGAGCACAAATTCACCTTTACGTTCTATGTTTCTTAAACAGAATAAGGATGTTGATATTTTCATGCAGCCTCAAAGTCTGGTGAAAACAATACCAGTAAGTATACTTGACTGGTTTCCCACTATACCTCACAGTAACAGTCATGCCCTAATGGATGGAGTAAAAGGGCAAAATAGACAGATGGCTTGCCAAAAAAGCAATCAACCTCAGTTATGGTTCTGCTGTTAGATGTTCATCAGTTCTCATCTTCAGGGGAGGATGGATGCAGTAACACGTTTAAGCAGATTGAGAGAGTAGTTTCGTTCATAGAGTTTAATCTGACTCTTGCTCTCTACTTGCCTCAAGGGGGTCTCTCTGAAGGGGGGGCCAGCCGTGTCAGAGGCGGTGCCCTCGGTGCTCCTCTCCCCCAGCGTCTTCCAGAACTCTGGCAAGACGCCGGAAATGGAGAGGAAGCCTGCCGCTCCGTCACCCACCTCACTGCGAGCCAGTGAGCTTCCCACCCACCTCAGCAGGCTCCAGCTTCAGGACACCCTCATTCACCTCATCAAGGTCTGGCTGTTTCATTCAGGGTGCCATTGTTGATCAGCCTTGTTAACAGCACGTATGCAATAGAACAGGGCCTCATCTGTTATGAACTGCAAGGTCCTCTTGGTTATAATGTGTTTTATGTCAATTACAGCAATTGTTCATAACCGGTCACATGTCTGGACACACCTACTTTTAATGCATTTGTGGCTATTTTAGCTGTTTTATTTATCTTATAGTAATTGGCCTTGAGGCAATGAATTAATACACATTTTGCAATGACCAAGAGAAGTGTAAAAATTCTTCAAATTTTAGACTCTTTAAAACAGCCCCCTTTTGCTTCGATGACAGAATTGCAGACTTGTGGCATTCTTTCAACCAGCTTCCAGAAGTAGCCACCTGAAAAGCTTCTCCTATAGTCCTGAAGGAGTTTCCACAGGTTCTGGGCTGCCTTGCTTTTACTCTTTGATCCAACTCCCCCCAAACCAGCTCTGTAGGGTTTAGGTCAGGGAATAGTGGGGGCCAGGTCTCCTGTCGCAGCACTGCATCCCTTTCCTTGCTGCATACACATCCTGCTGTGCTTAGGGTTGTTATCTAGGTGAAAAACAAACAATATTCAGTCACTGTGTCTAGACATTTGAACAGTGCTGTCCCTTTTTAGTAGCACCTGGGCTTCAGAAAGACTTAGCACAGCCCCTTATAAATTCTACCAAATGCTCCCCCCACCCCAAACCATAGCTACTGCAGCATGAATATCATGTCTGAATTACTGACTGTACCACATGTTCTTGTGGAATTACGAATGACAAATGCATGTAGTTAAAACCCCTGTATGAAACACTTGCTGCGATATTCCTGTAAATACGGTTCTGGTTCTTTTCTTTGCAGAATGATTCCACGTTCCTCAGCACCATTCACGAGGCCTATCTCCAGAGTGTCGCTAAGAATCTGAACAACGTCAAGCTATAGGCCACCACATGGGCTTGTAAGCACACACACTTATATGCCGGGGGCACAGTGATGTGAGGTCCCTGACGGACCGAGCGGCTGCTCAGCCCATGCAAGAAGCTGTTTGCTTGGCACCAAACAGGGTTTTTTTTTTGTCACACATGATCTGAATGGCTTATGCAGAGAACTCCCTGCATCTGCGTTGTATCCCATTGGCTGACTCCAGGAGGTGTGGGTGCCTTGCAGTACAGACCTACTGCAGAATCTGAGATGGAGTCACTTCCTGTTTCACGTGATCTTGTATAGGAAAAAACATTTAAAAAAGCATTGCACCACTCTCATGCTGCCTCTCATGGCCACTTTTAGTGTTTGACACTCTCTGCCTTCTATCAGTGACCCCCCTCTATTCACCAGAAAGTAGCCCGTCTGTTTAGGAGGTCAGTGCTCAGTAGCCGCCTTATTTATTGCACTGCTCTGTACCAGCGGATCTGGTAAGAGTGTAGGAAATACTTCAGTGGACTGTAGAGGTGAGATTTCACCACAATTAATCAGTCACTTCTGAGTTGTATTACTGGTTAAGAGATATACATCAAATCAATTTGGGAGATTAACTGCTAAACTTTTTCCCCCCCCGGAAATCAAGATGTGGGTATAATTACGCCTGTCCACTTTGTAACTTGTCCTCTAAGGAGCGGTTTACTGAAATGTTTTTGTCCACTGCACATCTTGCACTGGGTTCCCACCCAGATGCCACCCATCCTCTGGGTCGTGTCCTTCAGCCTCTGCCTGAGCACAACCTGGCCTGATATTTGCTGGAACCTCATGTAGGAAGCATGTTGTGTCTGAGCATTTAGCTACCAACATGGCTCAGCTTGCCGCATCCTTGGCGGCTTAGTTTTGCACGATCAAATGCTTCCCTCAAGCAATTTGTATGTCAGACACAAACTACCTGGTCCGGATACTTATGGTCATATGTTCTGAACTAATCGAAGTTTACCCACTGCTCAGAGTCTTCACACTGCATTTGGAAGTGAATGAAAATAATCCCATCTGTAAGGTAATTGTCATTAAAGCAATTCACATAATGGAGAATAACCTGATTTGGCTCTAGCCTGATTTTAAGCAAACACAAAAACAACTAGGTACAGTTTATACTCTCTGTGGCAGAGTAATTGAAATTAGCAGCAACTATGTATGTTACTGGATTTTTGCCATTTTTCCCCCCAGAAATACTCGTATCCTAATTAAGATTTTTTTAAAAAGTTTATCACCTTGTGCTTAACAAAAGATCTACGACATGAGCAAACTTCCACTGTTGTATTTCCAGTATCATGGTGTATTTGCTGCCTGCTTAAGCCCATGTTCTCACCTCAGGCATTTTCTGGGTATGCGATGTCTATGAAATTTAGTTTGGCTTCATTTTCATGCTTTCGAAATGGTCACATCAAGGGAAGGTACTTGTCATTTGGGAAGTGATATTCAAATCCAGTGATCACTATTTTTTTAAAAGTTGTTTTAAACAGGCATTTAATTTTCTCCTTTTGTTGGGTTGAACCTGATCAGCATCTTTGAGTGAATGCATCACTAAAAACAACTTACACAGTGTTTAGTTCAAGATTAGGTTATTTTTTCGTCCTGTAACAAGGCTCCACTTCTTCAAGAATCACTGATTCTTCCTTGCTTTTCACCTTGTGTTGTTTATCCTGTTTTCTACATTGCAAGTCTATTTTTATAATAAAAATTGAGTGGTGTTTGCAGCTGTCTAAATGTCCTCCATTCTCCGATCTGTTTCTTTCATGTCATGGTCCTGGCAAATTGACTGATAGACGGCTCCTGTAGTGGTGTTTCAAAATCAGACGTGCCCCTTCACTGGGTTTGGGTTATTTCACGTCTTTCACACATTTATTGCAGTGTTGCTGTTATTTCTCTGCTGATGTTTGCTTCTCAATGCTCCTCTTTCTGCTGAGATGAAATAGGAAGTTCTTTAATGGGTGGTATGAATTAAAACTTCAGCTGCAAACAACAATGATGTAATGTCTACCCCATCTTGCTCCCATAAGAGACACACGTGAGATGGGGGTTAAGGGCCGTGTTTAGTGGCCCAATGGTGGCATCAGCCTGCTGGCCCTGGGATTTGAACCAGTGACCTTCCAAGTCCTAACTTGCTGTGCCATATACCACTCCCCATATGTTACATCTTGAAATGTCTTTGTTTTTTCTTTTTGCTTTAGGTATTGTATGAAAGACACGGCATAATCATACGTATAATTAGTGTTAAAAACATTTAATGTTAAGCATTATGCTGTGACCCAGTCTTGGTAAATGTATCAATGAAAACATTGCACTGATTAGGAAACTGAAGTTATTTTATTATCGAGATCATATAACCTCATTTTATGATAGCTGGTAATAGCTGTGATAGTGCTGTCGGGTTAAAAAAAAAAAAAAAAAAGCTAACAATCGGTATCATTTTTATTCTTCCTATATCTAACTTTAGCCATTCCAGCTAAGATGATGTTTTTATAGATCAGTAAAACAGAGCTCAGCAGTATTGAAGGGACCTTTTGCTAAATAAACTGAACCAGGAGGCAGTGCAGGCCCTAAGTCTTGTGTTAGTATGTTAATTCAGGTTATGCTCAGGAAGAAGTCTCCTGCCTATATATACCCGGTATCTCCATCCAGAAGGTCAGGTCAGGTTGGGGGGCATGCGCTGATGCAGCACGTTGCTGCACCCACCACATGGCGAAACTCCTCGGGATCCTGACTGGCGACCCCCCCCCAGGCAGACCCACCCTCTGGAAATGACCATCCATCTGCTGCAGCCAGGTGTTACATGGTCTTCGTCTCGGCTCAGTGAATAGCGTCCATGTCTCACAGCCATACAGCAAGACAAGGAGCACCAGGACTCTAAAGACCTTCGTCCTCTTGCAAAGATATCGGGAGCCTCCCACACCTCTTTCCAGAGACCCCCCATGTTCTGGCAATCTGTCTGCTGACTTCATAGGAAGAGTCACCAGAGACATGAATGTTGCCGCCGAGGTAAGTGAGAATCTCAATGAGATCAACACCTTCCCCGCAGACAGACACACTACTGATGGCTGAGCCTAAGAAGTCATTGAAGGCCTGGATCTTGGTTTTTATCCAGGATACCCACAATCCCAGACACTCAGACTCTTCGCTAAATCTCTCAAGATCCCCGATCAGAGCCTCGATTGAGCCTTGATTTACGAAAATCAACAAAGGCTGCAAAGAACCTCTGCCGATATTCACGCTTCTGCTCAATAAGATCATTCAGTGCCAGGATGCAGTCGATGGTAGACTTCTTAGGCCTAAAAGCAGACTGCTCTGGCCGCTGATAGCCGATCAATTGATGACGGATTCTGTTAATGATGACCCTAGCAAAGATGTAACCCGGTAGTAAGAGCAGTGTTATCCCCCTGTAGTTGTCACAATCCAGGCAATCCCCTTCCCTTTCCAGAGAGGGACTACAAGTCCTGATTTCCAGTTGGGATGACGCCTGACTCCCAGATGGAAGCAAAGATTGCCTGCAATGCCAGCAGGACAGCTTTACCACCACTAGGGGTGTAACATGTAACAATACACTCAACTCACAATTCTATACGATTCATGATTCTGAGTTCACAATACGGTTTTCTCACGACTTTTCAACAGAATGAGCTGCAGACAAATTTATTCAAAAATATTCCTTTATCTGTCTAATCTGTACAAAACATTTCCTCTTCTTAACAGTGCAACTGAAATTAAATAAGATACTGTTTTAAAAAAAAAAAAAAATCAGTAAATTAAAAAAATATTCAAATAAGTAAACTAAGGCTTGCACTTAGCCTGGTTTGCCCTTTTAATAATCTTCGCTCTGGCGGTGGTGAATTGAGCTCACTGTGGTGCCGGTGGACATGCTGAAGCATATTCGTTGTGCTATTTGTGTATGTTATCAGTCTTTTACAATGTTTGCATGCAGTATTTGTCTTGTCTGTGCTTTTCTCGCCGTTTTTGTTTGTGATTACTGGAAGGGTAAAAATATTCACATACAAAGCACTGATTATTGTACCTATTTCACTCTTGACATTAACCAGACACTTATTTGTGATGTTCAATATTCCCAAATAAAGGAATTCAAAGTCATTCATTTCTGCCCGTCCCCCACTCTGGCCACGGCCCTGACTGTAGGCTGTCAGTCGGGAATTTCTGCTCTCTTGTTCTTGCCCTTTAAATACTGAAGTTTGCTTTCGTCCATTAGATCCATCAGTGTTTATGGTAGAGAGGTTTAAACTGTTAATTACTCTTTAATTTCTTTAAAAAAAATCTGGATAACTGAACCTCTTTTTCCATCATATCAGTGAATAAATAATTCATGTTGTACAAAACTGCATGACATGGCATAATCATGATAATGATTATTGTTTAGTGGTTTTTGTTTGGTTGGTTAGTTGTTGGGTTTTTCTGTGGATGTTAAAAGTGGTATTTGAAGGTACAATTTATTATTTTGGAAAATGTGAGAGTTACCAAGCATCCCGTAAATTATGCAATCGTTCTGTATTGAAAAATAAAGTTCTGTGTTCCATTCCTACCCTCACTTATGGTCACGAGCTTTGAGATCGCAGAAACAAGATACGAGGATTGGAAATGGACTTCCTTCACATGGTGTCTGGGCTCTGTCTCCTAGGGAGGGTGAGGAGCTCGGACATTTGGGAGGGGCTCAGAGTAGAGCCGCTGCTCTTCCGCATTGAAAGGAGCCAACTGAGTTGGTTTGGGCATCAGATTAGAATGTCTACAGTATGCCATCCTGGGGAGGTGCTTTGGGCATCACCAATTGGGAGAAGACAATCATTTCTATGAAATAATTCTGGAATTCATTTGGATTAAGCATTTTAGCTGCGAATGAGATTTAGTCCTGGCTGAGTGCATGTTGTAAGCCTCTCAGCTGCCCTACAACTACATCAGCTTATATCCTGAAGACAACTAGTCTGTCTGTCTGTCTGTCAGTCAGTCACTTTATCTTATTTATTTATCCAAACATACATTTTCAGTGAGAATGCAGGGTCACACAATCCCACAGGTAACTGGGGGTTAAGTGCCACATTCAGGAACCTAATGGTGAACTCCATCTGCTGACTGTGGGATTTGAACACATGACCTTCTCACCACAGGTACAGTGTCCTGAACCACACACTGGATTTAAATGGTTCCGACCTGAGTGGTATAGCCTTATTTTGGGGTTTTGAACCTAGTGACTACCACGACTATCACAGTAATTCAAAATCAAATGTTTCACTCCTTGTTATCTCACAGGCAGTATTGTGACATGCAGCACAACAGCATTAGGCCTAATGATCCGAACAAGATGAGTTTTTTGTTAATTTAATGCCTTTCAACACCCATTATGTCCTAGAGGGACAACTGTCATACCTGATGAATGGTAAGCTGGCCAGGTGCCTCAACAGAATTTGTTGATCAGCTTAGACAGGTTGGCCAAACACTATTGTATGCAGCACAGCGAACTCCTCCCCTCCTCTTCCCAATTTCCCAATATAAGACTCGGAGTGACTGTGGACTTTCAGGCATAGAGCTCATGTTCGCTCTGCTTATTTTCAGCATTATAATTAACTATACCAGTCTCTCTCGGCTTGCCACCCCTTGCTCTCTCAAACATAGCATCGCTGTCTGTTTCTGCAATCAGAAGCTCAATCTCTTTTAATCTGCGCTGCTCATAACTTTACTCATGGAGAATTATCACAAAGTCGACCAGCAAACAGTGCAGGCTCTGAGAAACATCGCCATTCGACTCAGGATCAACTCCATTAAGGCAACTACAGCCGCAAACAGTGGGTAAGTTCGTGCCCCTGCAGATAAAATGTCTTTTATTTTATTTTATTTTATTTTAGTTCCTTGTCTTTCTAAGGAAGCAGTTACAAAAGCATGTTGTCTCATATTTACTTTTTTCTGACCTTTAGCAATATCACTTCTCTTATCTTTTTGAATAATTATTTCCATAATCATTTCTATTGTTATCCCATTGCCATTGTTTTAAAATTGCTGCACAAGAGGCGTCAACAAAATTTTACTGTACTGCAGCATAATGACAATAAATAATATCTGAAAGTATTTCCATGTCAGCATAAAGCATCACCTACATATTACACATTTGGTACAATGAACTCCATTGTGTACAAGCTGACAGAATGTAAATGAATAAATTTTAACACAAAGTGAAATTCTGAATGGAGCAGTTTATTTATTATGAAATTGCTGTTTAGTAATAGCAACACTTAATTTGATTATTGGTTAACCTTAAAACACATTAAATAGAACCAAAATATATTCCATTTTACATCTTCAGATGACAAAGTTAAACAAAACATTTAACATTAGAAAAACTAAATAATTCTAAGGTAAAAATTGTAAGAGGTGTTAAATTTACCATGATAGTAATCAGAGTATGCTAAGTAATCATTAGGTTGAATATAATCAAAGAATTGACACGGTATCAAAAATAGACTATAAACTGATTTTACAGTTCATTAAATCATATTCCATAATTTCACTATTTTTTGTGTCTGACAAAAAAAAAACAGTTGATGCTGTCGCACAAAAAAATAATTTTGATGTTTGGAGTGTTTGGGGAGGTCGGAATATATTTCAGGTCTCTATAGAATTAAGCACGACCATCATATTGAGGTAGAAAAAGACATATTTGTTGCAACCCAGAAGCTGACACCTCTGTAACAGCTTGGATGATAAACTCCATTTGGTGCCACGGATTTTTATTTAGAACCTGCTATTGCTTAATAAAACAGTTTTATTTCATTCGGGAAAAAGAAGGCAGCAAAATCTTCACACTAAATTACATAACACATGTGACAGCACATTCTTACATCGCAAAGTACACTTTGCACTGCTAGTTTGATCAGTTTTTTATATATAGAGTACATATATCTCTTTAATTGATACCAGCTGTGCGGATCCATGTATTATTTCTGTTTGAAGTTACTAACTATAAGCTAGACGATGCAGGTTATAAATTGTACGATGCCGTACTTCTTCATATTTTCAATGACCTACATTTAAGTTTAATCCATAGACTGCCTGTCTGTTTATGTGTGGGCCGTGCCTGTTTCCCGTCTGTTGGGTTTCTGTATTGTTAATCGACTTTACGGTCATCTGACTCACAGACACCCAACATCGTGCTGCAGTGTAGCAGAGATCATGTCTGTGTTGTTCTTCCACACAATGAGGTACACGCCAGAAGAGCCCAGGAACCCCAACAATGACCGTTTTGTTCTGTCAAAGGTAAGAGTCACTGTTATAAAAGTGGGACTTGGACTCTGAGTGGCCTGATGAAAGAAAGATTTTCTACTGGATACTTGGAAACATTCTTACACTTTTACTGGCCAAAGTTGTAAGTTATTAGGAAGAGTATGGAAGTAAATCTGTGCCACTGAAATTCACACATTGAATATTTATGCATTGGAAATATGCATCGGAAATTCGATGGCCCGAATTCACATGCAAAAATACGAGGTTAAAAATACAAAGACAACATTTCATAAGAACATAAGAAATTTACAAACGAGAGGAGGCCATTCGGCCCATCAAGCTCGTTTGGGGAGAACTTAACTAATAACTCAGAGTTGTTAAAATCTTATCTAGCTCTGATTTAAAGGAACCCAGGGTTTTAGCTTCCGCTACACTAGCAGGAAGACTATTCCATACTCTAACTACACGCTGTATAAAGAAGTGCTTCCTCAAATTTGTTTTAAAATGTTCTCCCGCTAATTTCCACTTATGGCCACGAGTTTTAGTATTTAAACTAATATTGAAATAGCCATTTGGCTGAACAGCATCCAGACCCGTTAGAATCTTATAGACCTGGATCATGTCCTCCCTTAGTCTCCTTTGCTCAAGGCTAAACAGATTCAGCTCAGCTAACCTCTCCTCATAAGACATTCCTCTAAGACCAGGAATCATTCTCGTAGCTCTTCGTTGCACCTTTTCTAAGGCAGCAATGTCCTTCTTAAGGTATGGTGACCAAACCTGCACACAATATTCTAGGTGAGGTCCTACCAAGGAATTACATAAATGTAACATCACCTCCCTTGACTTAAACTCCACACACCTAGAGATATAACCCAGAATTCTATTGGCCTTTTTTATTGCTTCCCCACACTTCAACATTTCAAAGTTGTTCCAATTCGACGGTCCGAATTCATATGCAAAAATACGAGGTTAAAAATACGAGTTATACATCCGTGATACCAAGGCTAAGAAATTGAATCTGTGGCTGCGTTCAACTTGGGCTCAGGTCTGTCTGCAGCTGACGTGACAAGAGCATCTGGCTGCGGCTGCAGGGGTGGAGTATAAACTTACTGCAGCCAAGTTGGACAACTTCTACTCCTCATAGTGTGTCACACCTGACTGCAATGGCAGCACTTCCAGAAGGGTGTAGATAAATATATACAAATATCACCTGCATGCATATAGTAAGATGTTCAGTAGAAATTTGTGAAATTATTGTTAAGGACTGCAAAATTTTTATATGAATTGAAGTGGCCAAATTGTCCGCAGGTGTGAATGATTATGTGTGCGTGTCCTTTGATGGGCCGGCATTCCGTCCTGGGTTGTTCTCTGTCTTGTGCCCATAGCTTCCTGGATAGGATCCGGACCCCCACAACCCTGCATTAGACAAGCAGGTATCAAAACTGGGAGGTTGAGTGGTTGTATGGATAGATGGATGGATGAATGGATGGATGAAAAGTAATTAGAGGATTTTATGTTCTACACGGATGTCATTACAGCTTTTTTGAGTAAATGGAAATGAAAGGAATAGTTCTCCTGGTCCCCAGGAGACTCAAAACTGACTGATATGTCGGTGGCCACTTCCCCAGGGACACGCTGCGCCGGCGCTATATGCTGTCTGGGCCGAGCTGGGATACCTGAAGGAGAATGAACTCTTCAGCCTCCGCAAGGTTGACTCCATCCTTGAAGGACATCCAGTCCCCGTGAGAGTCTGTGTGGTCTCGGAGGCAGCCTGCCCCACTAGAAGCCCAAGTCCCCTGGGTCTCCTGACCTGGCTCACCCTCCTTTAGCTTTAATTGTATTGCCCCAGCTTAAAGGGCTGGGGTGGTACACCCAAAGGCACACACCTGTCAAAATGGCTGCCAATGTTTCAAGAAGGGAGGAGCTTTCTGGTTATAATCCAAGTAATATTCTGGGCTCTAATACAACTCATTGAAATCAAACATTCTTAGTGTAGAAAATATACTAATTGCATGTAGAGCTGGCATTTCCCAGTTGAATTTCCATGGCCATTGCTGCTAGGGAAAACAGTTAAATTGCACTGCAAATTAAATCATTATCTGTCATTGCAGAAGCAGCGGTTTGTGGATGTTGCCACCGGGTCCCTGGGGCAAGGCCTTGGTGTGGCCTGTGGAATGGCATACACAGGCAAATACTTTGACAAGGCCAGGTAAGGGCCCATGGTCATTGGATGAATGAAACCAGTGCTTAACTTGTAAACTCAGAGGTGCTGGAGCTCCTAAAGACCACAATGATATCGTGCACACAAATCAGCCTTTACCAACAATAATGTGCTATAATTACTTAAAAGTATTGACATCTGTTACTTGCATCAAACTTTTTGTCTGTCTTTTAAGTTTCTTGCTTCCTTGTTGCAGTCCTTCTTATTAGCATTAGCATCCACAGCCACCGCTCCTCTGCTCGCTGTCTCTGCTTGTTGTCATTAGCATTAGCATCCACAGCCACTGCTCCTCTGCTCGCTGTCTCTGCTTGTTGCCATTAGCATTAGCATCCACAGCCGCTGCTCCTCTGCTCACTGTCTCTGCTTGTTGTCATTAGCATTAGCATCCACAGCCGCTGCTCCTCTGCTCGCTGTCTCTGCTTGTTGTCATTAGCATTAGCATCCACAAATGCTGCTCCTCTCCTCGCTGTCTTTAATCGCTCTCATTAGCATTAGCATCCGCAAACTGTTTCTGCTTGTTCTCATTAGCATTAGCATCCACAAATGCTGGTCCTCTCCTCAATGTTTCTGCTTGTTCTCATTAGCTTTAGCATCCACAAACGTTGCTCCTTTCCTAACTGCCATAAAATGTATTTATTAAAAATTCAGGTTAAATACAATGTTATGTAAAAACTTACACACATACTACTTTGTGACGCTCATGAAAACATTGCATGGCTTCAGTGGTTCATTAGCTTGAGGTAAAGTACAGTATCATATATAGTTTCTTTTATTATTACAGTATAATTATTATTATTTACTGTATTATTTTTTTTTACTTACCTACAAATTCGACTTAATGACAGACTCAAGGAACAAATCTCGTTTGTAACCTGGAGATTGCCTGCATACAACAAATACTATTCTTATAATATAATGTTTTGTTGATCATTTACAGTGCAGCTGGCTGCTTCTAATTACTTTGTCACAGAGCTTTGGCTTCTCTGACCAGGAGAAGAGAGTCTGCTCTCTTAAAGTAGCTGATATATAAATCATTACATTTATATACAATATATGTTTATATATACAAACACACATAAATATACATATATATATATTTTTATATATATATATATATGTGTGTGTGTGTGTGTGTATACATAGGCCTACAGTTTAGTTTAGTGCAGTCTTCTCATACCATTTGATGTAGGACCTTGTTGATCCTCAAGCAGTTTTTTTTGTTTTCAGATTATATAAATCTATTTCTAAAAAGTGTTTGCTCCAAATTCATAGCAACATGCAAACCTTCCTGCGCAGGGGTGTGTAAGCCTTGAATCTTGTCTTGTTTATTCTTAATGCTTTTTTGAGTAGCAGTGTGCCCCCAGTATCTTGCCCTTCTTTGGGGAGAAAGTTCCCCTTCTTTCAATGTTGACTTCCTCTTGATCTGATGACTTCCTGTCAGTTTGCTGACCTTCTTCGACCAGTTGACTTTCTTGCGATCTGTTGACCTTCTCCTTGGTCAGATGAGTTTCAATGGACCTGTTCACCTCTTAAACGTTCTATCATACCACCCCAAATGAACACTGTGTTCATTTTCTCCCAGCCCCACCCAGAACTGGTTTGAAAGTGTACATTGAAATTACATTGCTTTTGCTTTGTGATTTATATGACAGAAAGTCAGCTATTTGAACATGTCAGCCTGATTTTCCGCTTCAGTGATAGTTGCACTCTTTCTCATTGGTTGTAGAAAGCACTTAACAATGGGGAATTGTTAAACCACATGCTAATAACAATAATTATTCTTATGTGGCTTCTGGGTCCACCAACAATGTAATTGGCAATGGAGCATAGAATGAAAGGTTTAATGCTAGCTGACTCCAAAGGCAGGTGAACTTCTGGGTCCAGACATGGCCTTTTCATACCCCATGTCTGATGATTAAGTTTAAAATTAGCTGAGGGTCACGCCCATTTTGCCAATGTTATTGTGAGCTTCTGACTTTCAACACTCATGTAATCAGATGCTATGTTTTAATAGGTAAAGAAGAACCTTTTTCAGTTTTGCTAATTCATTTTATGCTATTTAGGTGTCAATCCAGGCCGTGCATTTTGCGTGCTAATTTGTTTTCTGCTCTGCAGAAGCAGGTGATTTGTGTGCTTGCCTACGCCTATGTGCACAGTACTTGATGCGTGACTAATCAAATGTGAAAATTTTATGAAGCAGTTGGTCCAGGTGCCACGGACCAGATCCCAGAATTCCTTTCTTCACCCAGAACTGGAATGTATACCGCGATGTGTGTTGTCTTGGCTAGTCTTTCAGCTTTAATAAAATATATCTATTGGACTGGAAAACTGTCAGGAGCCATTGGGTGCGAGGTGGTGTGAGAAGGCAGGTAGGCGGTAGGGTTGTGTTTTAGGGTGAGAGCTCTGACTCCCTCTAGGGAACCAGCTCATGCTTTGGAATGACAGTATATAGGTTTGGAAATGAACATTATTCAGGTTCAGAATAATCAGTCGTTATATACGGCTTTTCTTCTGCTTTTGTGATATTTCATGTGCCATTTTCATTTCTCGAGGAAGGATTAGTAATTGTTTTTTTAGATTCTACTGTAGTCCTGGAGGATGGATTAGTGAGTAGCAATGCGCTTGTGTGATTGTGGGTTTACTTCCAGCCTTGGTCTGCTTTGCCCGTATAGGTCACACCAGCTTTTTCCTGCACTCAAAAAACATGGTTCAGGTTACTTTGTGTCTCTACATTGCTCTCTCTAAAGCAGAGGTGTCAAACTCCCCCGAGCCCTGCACATTTTTGGGTTTTCCCTCATTTAACACACAGGGTTCAACCCCTTGTGCTAATCACCACGCAGCTCTTGAGCTGAATCATTTGTGGTGGAGCAGGGAAAGAACTAAGCTACACAGGGCTCCGGCCCCCCAGGACTGGAGTTTGGCACCCCTGCTCTAAAGGGTTATGTGCTTTCCTTAGTAGCCTATTGTGATCCTGTCCTGAATAAGCAGCCTAGGAAAATGATAATGTTGATGATGATGGTTGTCTTTTGATGTAAACATTTAGCACACTGACACATTGTGACATATTAGCAACCACAGAATTGGTTGCCAGGATGCATCAGTTCATCAAGCTGCTGGGCCAGATCAGAGCTTGCTGGCTAATTCCAGCCCGTGGACCCACCCCTGCAGGCTGCACTTCACTGTGTGCTCTGTTGCCTCGTGGCTCCACAGTTACCGCGTGTACTGCCTACTGGGAGATGGAGAGCTGTCCGAGGGGTCGGTGTGGGAGGCCATGGCCTTTGCTTCCTACAACCAGCTGGACAACTTGGTGGCTGTCCTGGACATCAACGGGCTGGGCCAGAGTGATCCAACTCCTCTGCAGCACCACATGGAGAAGTACCAGAGACGCTGTGAAGCATTTGGGTGAGTGGCTCTGCCTGTGAGTGCCAGTTTCCTGTGTTTTTCAGTTCATTTGTGTGAGTGGGGCTGCTATGCTTGTCTGTACAACTGCTCTCCATTTGTTTTGAACATATTTAAACCCTGGCACACGTGTGCACTATGGACATAGCAAATCACACCTTGCCGGAGCATAGCTCTGCCTCCTTATGTCCAAATCTCACCTTGCAGGAGTACATCTCCGCTTACTTATATCCAAATTGCACCTTGCCAAAGTGCAGCTCTACCTTCTTATGTCCAAATCTCACCTTGCAGGAGGACCTCTCCACTTACTTATATCCAAATTGCACCTTGCCAAAGTGCAGGTCTGCCTCCTTATGTCCAAATCTCACCTTGCAGGAGTACCTCTCCGCTTACTTATATCCAAATTGCACCTTGCCAAAGTGCAGCTCTACCTTCTTATGTCCAAATCACACCTTGCCAGAGCCCAGTCCCACGCTGAAAAGGTTCATTGTTTTGTCTGATATGCTGAATTATATTGCTTGATTTGGACCAAGCTTAGTAAAAGCGAAGTACTCAGGACCAGACTGGGAGTTCAAGTCCCCGAACAGCCCAATATAAAATTATATAAATGATCACACTTTTATTATATATTTCTGTTAAAATATCCATTATCTGGTCTATTGAATGTACATTCTTACCTACACGGTTTAATTTTGCGTTCATGTAATTTGTACCGGCACGTTTCACCAACGTTAGTAAAGCATGGAGCAGCTTTGACATAAATAAGGAAGCTTCATCAAAGTGCACATTAAATATATTATCTGTGCAAATTCCAAAACATGTTTAATTAATCACTTACACAATTTATTTTTCCCGAATTTGCGTGGAACATTAATGATGCACACCTCGAAATGCATTCACACCTGTATGTAGTGCTGTCCACTTGTGATCGGATCACCCAGGATGAATGTTAATACCAGGTGTGAACAGGGCCCAAATTTCACCTTGCTGGAGCCCAGCTCTGCCTCCTTATGTCTATATCACACCTTGCCGGAGTACAGCTCTGCCTTTTTATGTCCAAATCTCACCTTTGTGAAGATCACCTTCTTATGTCCACTGGCACTTTCCTGGAGCCCAACTTCACCTTCTTATGTCCAAATGGCACTTTCCTGGAGCCCAACTTCACCTTCTTATGTCCAAATCACACCTTGCTGCAGCCCAGCTCTGCCTTATATCCAAATTGCACCCTACTAGAGCACAGCTGTGCCTCCTTATGTCCAAATGGCACTTTGCCAGAGTGCAGCTCCACCTCCTTATGTCCAAATCACACCCTGCTGGAGCACAGCTGTGCCTCCTTATGTCGAAATGGCACTTTGCCGGAGTATAGCTCCACCTCTTTATGTCCAAATTGTTCCTTGCGGGAGTACAGCTTTGCCTTCTTTAATGTTAATCTTTTTTTCTTAATGTCTGAAAATTTAGTAAAAGATTCAAAGTGAATGGTTTCCCAAAACGCTGGTTTTGCACAAAAAAAAAACGTTTTTATCAGTTTTAATGTTAATTTTAATTAGTCGTTCTGATTTCTCGAATAGATATTCCTACAAGATGCCTTGATTTCTGTCCTGTGTTTTTGTATTTTTGCTTATTTTGTTTACTGTGTTGCTACCAAAACTTCAGTTACTAGCTGGACTTGGAAAGACCTGTAACAAGCAATCTGTGAATAACTTAATATTTTAACGCATTTTTACAAGGACATTACAAATGCATAAGCAAAAATATTACTTGTAGCGATAAGCCATTTTGATGAATCTTTAAGTTTCATTTATATTAGCTTTAAAAAAATGTCCAGTACTATTTAACCACATAATATGTGCAATACTCATATAAAAAAAATGTACAGAGTGGCTTTTTCAGGACCCCCCTCCTCCCTGCTCTGTACTTGACCAGGCTCCCCTTCCTCTCTGATTATGATTTAACTCCTGGTGTTACTCTTTTCCTACACATGTATCTCTATTTGAGTGAGTAGCCTATGTGTGCACATGCACATATCTGTCAGTGTATCTCACACACAAATAGAGATAATGTCCTTTTCTCTTCTCTGGTAGCTGGAATGCCTTCGTCGTGGATGGCCACAGTGTGGAGGAGCTCTGTAAAGTCCTCAGCCAGCCTCGACACCAACCCACTGCCATTATCGCCAAAACCATTAAAGGCAAAGGAATTCCAGGTACCCACAATGCAATGGAATCTATACAGCACCCCAAGCCTATCGTGTAGAGCTTACAAAATCTAGGCACTGGACTGTATCACAAAGCTGAGGTTATCACTGCCGATACGTCCCTCTAAGTAGACTTTGCAGACTTTGATGACCTGGGGACAGGAGCAAATTTCAGGGAGGTACAAACCTCTAATTTTACTACTGGGCTACATGTCTAGTTGGGAGCAAGCAAAAATCGGGCAGGTCAAACCCATAATTTTGCTATGTGACCACATGCCTGGACTGATGGTTTCTCCGCATTGGACCTTGAGCAGCTGGATCTCTCCCTTTCAGGCTTCTTCGATGTGGTAGTTTGCTTTCCTACTTGATATCATATTGTATAAAAATCACTTTGCTGCCCCCTTTAGGTGTGGAGTCCCGCATCCCCTGTTTGTGCCAATTAAGGGGGCACTGTCAGCTTGGTGAGCTGCTTAGCACAGATGAAACTGCTCCCTCATCTCGCGTGTGGGTCTGTGTGTACGTGTGTGCAGCCGCTGAGGACAAGATGGGCTGGCATGGGAAGGTCCTCCCCAAGGACATGGCGGACAGCGTGGTGAGGGAGCTGCACAGCCACATCCTGAACAGCAGCAAGCGCCTGTACCCAGCCACGCCCGTGGACGATGCCCCACTCGTGAACGTGCGCAACATCCGCATGCCCAGCGGCCCCAGCTACAAACTGGGGGAGAAGGTACAGCATTAATGTGGGGAGTGCGATTCACTCTCCTGTTTTAATAACAATTACAAATAAAACAATTCAAAGAGAACTGGAAGAGGTGGATGGAACAACTCCCAAAATCAAGGAATAGTCAGGTGGGTGAGGTGGACATAAGGAGGCTTTTAGATAGTGTGGGTCAACAGTTGGGAAACACTTTCCTTAAGGAAGTACAAATAAATAGTAACTCAGTTACTACTAAAGAACAAATCATGATCTAATATGGTTTCTGTATAAAATACATGAAGCATCATGACTGAATGAATGAACAAGGAATCAGTACGAAGCAAACAGTTACTGATTAATTAATTAAGTAAAGTGTTACCGATATTTGTTAGTTAGCCTGATGCTTTCGTAGTAGTTAAGGCTGATTTATACTTTTGCATAGAATCTATGCCATGGGTAGCTCATGGGTCCACAAAGGGCCGGTGTGTATGCAGGTTTTTTGGATAACCTTTAGGTCAGCTGTTCAAACCCAGGTGTGAGGACTCTTCAACCAATCAGTCCTCTAATTAGTAATCTAATTAGGAAGTTGCAGCGAAGATCCGGATACACAATGTCTCATTCTGGATAAGATTGCCCACCCCTGCCCTACACGATGGCCTCTATACCCTATGGCCTATATACTACCTGTATAGTTACATTTCTGGGGAGGTGCGTGTCTGGCTATGGTGCAGGCTACGGTGTAGGATATGCAGCTACACAGCTACCAATGGTGTAGATTCTATGTAGGACTATAAATCAACCTTTAGTCTGGCCAACTGACCTTCTTCATGGAGGTAGGCCTTAATTTTTAGATGAGTATGCCATATGCCTTCTGTCCTCTCCAGTAACAGCTGTTTTCTCACCAGATTGCCACACGGAAGGCTTACGGTCTGGCTCTAGCCAAACTGGGCCGGTACAACGAGCGGTTGGTGGCCCTGGATGGGGACACCAAGAACTCCACCTTCTGTGAAATATTCAAGAACGAGCATCCCGACCAGTTCGTGGAGTGTTACCTTGGCGAGCAAAACATGGTACCCGCATGTTCTTTCCTCACTAGCAGATGGTTACACTGGTTAACTAACATACCTCTTCATGTTGATTTCATACAGTGAACCCTAGGAAAGCGCATTGGGATGATATTGGCAAGGTGCTGATTGCTTTAATCATTAGGTCTAGCTTGTGCTTAGAGAACTGTATTCCGTTAGATATATTCCTGGATGTGTATTGAAAAAAATTTAAGATGCCATAATGGAAAACATCTGTTTTTGTTCTCCCAAAGTCAAACTTCTGCCACAGGTATTTTGCGCCTGGGCTGCTCAGAGCTGTGTATGAGTCTGGCATTTGCTCTATTTTAGGGCACTAGGCTGACAGTAGATACAGTTCACTGAATAATGCATCTCTGTGCTCACAGTGTGACCTGTGAGGACCTCGGCCTACTTCCTGATCAGTCTGAGGTGTAATCCAAACCCGCATATTCATAGGCCATGTCCTCAGCTCACCCTGACCTGCTGAGTTCCATTTACCTTGGAGGTCAGAAGCTGGAGTGACGTCAAACCCAAATTATTTACATGTCAGTACAACAAATCAGAAAGCCATTTAGCAATATCAGTTCTAGCCAGGTTCATTGTTAGCCATAGTTAGCAATGCCAATTAATAACGTGGTATTTAGCACCTACACACATGATAGCAACATGTCCACAAATAGAGGTTGGACAGTACTGTGTGTATGACCCATTTAATGAGAAACAAATAAGACCTAAGTGCTAAATGGTATATAACTCTAGCTTTCACTTCTGTTGATGAAGGGTGCAGCCATCTTGAATTTTAAGGTCAGGGTTGCAGAGGTTCCTCCGACTTTTCGAGTCAGAACTCTGACTTCAGAGGGTGTTCAACTTTCTGACTTAGGAACTCAGAAATTCTGACTTCCCAGTTCCCAGATGAGAGGCAGTAATATGGAAAAAAACATCCAAGCTACTCTCCACATGGATCAGAAAGCACACAAGCTGTACTGTTTCGAGCAGGTTGATGGTAATGCCTACTGTTAGAAGGGCGTAGGGGAAGGTTTCTCATTCAGGAATACAAGAAATCAAGCAAATTTCATACAAAATATGCCAGAGAGTCTCCCATGTGACCAACCCTTCATTTGTTGAGGAATGAGGAGGCCCATTGATAGATCTCCAAGATTCCCTCAATAAGAGTTGCCGTTCTCTCCCCCAGCCACTGCCATAAGCCCCCTACCACTCTGCCCCCTCCTCAGGTGAGTGTGGCCGTGGGTTGTGCCGCCAGGGACAGGAACGTCGTCTTCGCCAGCACCTTTGCCGCCTTCTTCAGCCGGGCGTTCGACCAGCTGCGTATGGCAGCCATCTCTGAGAGCGACATTATCCTGTGTGGCTCCCACTGTGGCTTGTCTGCTGGTCAGTACTGAATTCACAGCAGGTCTTAGCTCCTCCCCCTCCATCTGCAAACTATGTATTATTAAACCACAAGTTAAGCCATGCTTACAAATGTAATTGTTTTAAATGTTCATTTTTTTGCCTCACTTCTTAGTGATGAAAGTGATTCTTCACAGCTTCAGTGTGTTAATCCCTTATGTTAATTGCCCTTTAATGGTGTAATTCTTCACCATAACACAATCGACATCATAGTTCCTGCACTAATGCATGTCTCCTTTTTATCGTTTCTTTGCTTCTGTATTTCCCAAACAGATTCTATCAGTTTTTTTCCTTACTGCTGTATCCCTGACTAAATCCTGACTTTTCATTCCTCACATTTTTCCCATTGTATCTTTGCGCTGGTCCTGATAGCACCCAGCCCCTCCCCTCACTCACTCCCCCTTTCTGTCACGGAAGTGGTTACAGGGTGCCCAGGCATCCTATTGGTTCCCCAGGTATGCTGCACGCCTGCCCCTCTTCTAGTTATTTTTGCTGCCCCACCCTCCCACTCCCATTGGCCGAGGGCTCTGACACATGTGGCCGCCTTCTTTCAGGGGAAGATGGACCATCTCAGATGGGCCTGGAGGATCTGGCATTGTTCAGAGCCATCCCCACGGCGACCATTTTCTACCCCAGCGATGGAGTCGCCACCGAGAAGGCAGTAGAGCTGGCGGCAAACAGGAAGGTAGCATGTGGCCTGGCCCTCGGGGATCCGTGCTCCGACTCTTGCATCGGCGCCCAGCATATAGAAAAAACAACCCCATGTGGGAAGCCCATTAACACATCTGCTTCCTTTGTCTCGCAGGAAGCCCATTAACACATCTGCTTCCTTTGTCTCGCAGGAAGCCCATTAACACATCTGCTTCCTTTGTCTCGCAGGGTATTTGCTTCATAAGAACCAGTCGTCCTGAGAGTGCGGTCATTTACAACAGCAGTGAGGACTTTCACATCGGCCAGGCCAAGGTGCGAGCAGGGTGCGGAGGACTGAGGGGCACAGTCAGTCACACAGCTAGACTGCACCTCACCATGTCACCAATGTGTTTGGCGCCTTGTCTTTCCCACCAGGTGGTGTACAGGAGCAACGATGATCATGTGACTGTGATTGGGGCGGGGGTCACGCTGCACGAAGCCTTGGCAGCAGCTGAGCAACTCAAGAAAGGTAATGCGAAGGATTCCTGTTATTCCCCTGAGCTGAAAGGTGCTACTAAAGGTGGAATGTCTAAAAAAAATAAAACATTTTTTGGTTGCCTGGCTATAAAAGAGGAATGAATTGGTGTTGTCACAGTGACTCATGACTCACTGCTGGCGCTACCTAAAACCACTGTATCGTCCTTCAGAGAGAATCAATCTCAGGGTGATTGACCCTTTCACAATTAAACCCCTGGATGCTCAAACCATCATCAACAATGCCAAGGCAACCAAGGGCCGCATCATCACTGTGGAGGACCACTATTATGAAGGTGAGTGCTGGGCCGTTTCTGCTGAGGGCAATGAGGGAACCCTGATGCATGATCTGAATTTTTTTTTTAATTGTATATATCCACACACCTGAATTTATAGGGAAATCATTTTGATTGAAATTTCCCATACATTTAACTTACCCTTAATATAATATCATTGAATTCATTAGCATTACCAAAGTTGAATTATGTGTTTTATTAGTATTTTTTATCCATGGTTTTGCCATGTTGACATACATGGAAAAGCTCAGAGCTGCACAGGAGTTTATCCTGGATGCTGCTACAGGGGCATCCAGCAGTGGATTAATGAGTTCAGGGCCCCCTAGGTCACAATGTCTTCTTCTGCCCACACTCCCCAAAACGATACAACAATTAACTATAAAACGAATAAATATTAGAAACTATAAAATAACTGCAAAGTCAAAGCGAGTGTGACGCTGTATCAAATCATCAGAAGAACAACAAACCAGCAAGCTTACACTTTTCCATCAGTAATATGAAGCAACCAGAAAGCTCAGCAGAGACTATGGGAGGTATTTTCTGCAAAAATGAAAATGATAAAATGAAAATGCAATCTCCACTTTGCTATTTAGTTTTCAAAGTGTATGCTCTAAAATCCTGCCAAAAAGAAAATTAAAATGAAATAGTACCATTTGCATTTTAATTTTACACTCATTTTTGAGTCCGATGTGAAAAATTCAAAAATAAAATTAAGAAGCCTTTTTGTCTTTTCATTTTCCAATTTGACTTTTCATTTCCTCTTACTGAGTTAGTAAGTAAACTGGTGAATGACACTGAGCAATTGTACACATAATTGATTCGAATAAGAAGCCATATTTCCAAATGGAATGTGAAGGTCATATTCACGTTGGGTAAGGAAAATATGAAATGCATAGTACAACAGCTGTGAATAAAAAGCCAAAAGTATTGGGACACCCCTCCAAATCATTGAATTCAGCTGTTCCAATCACTACCTTAGGCACAGGTGTATAAAATCAAGGACCTAGGCATGCAAACTGCTTCTGGAAACATTTGCAAAAGAATGGGTCGCGCTCAGGAGCTCATTGAATTCAAGCATGGTATCGTGATAGGATGCTAGCTGTGCAATAAGTCCATTCTTAAATTTCCTCACTACTAAATATTCCACAGTCTGTTAGTGGTATTATAACAAAGTGGAAGCAATTGGGAACAACAGCAACTCAGCCACAGAGTGGTAGGCCACGTAAAATCACAGAGCAGGGACAACGCATGCTGATGTGCGCCAACTGTCTGCAGAGTCAACAGCTACAGACCTCCAAACTTCATACGGCCTTCAGATTAGCTTGAGAACAGTGCGTAGAGAACTTCATGGAATGGGTTTCCATGGCTGAGCAGCTGCATCCAAGCCTTACATCACCAAGTGCAATGCAAAGCGTTGGATGCAGTGGTGTAAAGCTGCCACTGGACTCCAGAGCAGTGGAGACGTGTTCTCTGGAGTGACAAATCACGCTTCTCTGTCTGGCAATCGGATGGATGAGTCTGGGTTTGGCAGTTGCCAGGAGAACAGTAGTTGCCTGACTGCATTGTGCCAAGTGTAAAGTTTGGTGGAGGGGGGATTATGGTGTGGGGTTGTTTTTCAGGGGTTGGGCTTGGCCTCTTAGTTCCAGTGAACGGAACTCTTAATGCTGCAGCATTCAAAGCCATTTTGGGCAATTTCATGCTCCCAACTTTGTGAGAACAGTTTGAGGATGGCCCCTTCCTGTTCCAACATGACTGTGCATTAGTGGACAAAGCAAGGTCCATAAGAACATGGATGAGCAAGTCTGTTGAGGAGGAACTTGACTGGCCTGCACAGAGCCCTGACCTCAACCCGATAGGACACCATTGGGATGAATTCCTAAAAGAGTGGTCAAAGATTCCCATAAATACACCCCTAAACCTTGTGGACAGCCTTCCCAGAAGAGTTGAAGCTGTTATAGCTGCAAAGGGTGGACCAACTCCATATTAAAGCCTATGTATTAAGGGATGTCATTATGGGATGTCATTAAAGTTCATATGTGTGTAAAGGCAGGTGTCCCAATACTTTTGGAAAAATATTTGCACATTGTGAACTTGATAATGAAAATGCAGAGTAGGCAATGAAAAGACAAAAAGGTTTTTAAATTTAATTTTTCACATCTGACTCATACAGGAGTGGAAAATCATAATGAAAATGCTGCTATTTCATTTTTATTTTGGCAGGATATTTGAGCATAGACTATGAAAACTAAATGGCAAAGAGGAGGGTGTATTTTCATTTTATCATTTTCATTTTCATTTATTTTTTCTGCAGAAAATACCTCCCATAATAGATCTCATTGAATAAACGCACCTCAGTAGCAGTAACCTTAAAACAATACACTCTGATCCAGTGCGTGTCAACTGCATCCACAATGTGCACTCAATACATATTCACCATAGACAGCATAGACCACGGGTAACTTTATAGAGAGGGGCAAATTTCCAAAGAATATTTAAAAAGTTCTTACTATTAAAATGTTTTCCTCCATGCTTTCCTGGCATAAAAGTTATTAGTCTGGCTCATAAAATCCATTTTACGCAGGAAACAGACTAAGCATATCAGAAAATACATAAAAGTATTAAAAGATAATTTAGAATTGGTTTTAACCAATCACCAACTTGAAAAGAAATAAACAACCGAAAAAGGGTCACTTTAAAAAATAGTAATAAAAAACCCTAGATGGCCAGTAGGGGGCCCTGATGTCTCTGGCAAACCTGTTAATCAATCCGCCCCTGGGGAAGTCGGCTGGTTTCTGTGCAGGAGGATGTGAGGATGCAGTCGGCTGTCAGCTGTGTTTAATGTCTCCTCAGCCCTCTCAGTCCTCTTTGACCTACATAACTGAGCAGGCAGGCGTCAGCTGCTTCCAGCCCCATTCTTTATTTGTATCCAAATGTATCTATTTGTACAAAGGCTGTGGCCCTATGATATTAAACCAGCTGCTGTGGTTCCACTAGGTGGCCTGGGGGAGGCAGTGTGTTCTGCCATAGTGAACGAGGCTGGGCTCACGGTGCATCGTCTGGCTGTGGTCCGTGTGCCACGCAGCGGCAAACCAGCCGAGTTACTCAAGATCTTTGGCATTGACAGGGACGCCATCATGCAGGTGGCCAAGAAGATGGTCAGCAGCTCTGCTAATGCCAAGTAGATGCTCCAAGGGGTTGGCCTTCACTGTGACCCACTTGGCGTTAAATTTTGTCCTCTGTCATCAATAAATCAGCCATTGAAACTTTTGGAAACCATATACATCTATTAATTCATATTGACATGCTGTTAAATTGACCCCTATTCTTTGTCTTCTTCCTCACTCCAAATCCAGGCCAAGAATTTGGTGTGTTGTAGCCTTATGGTGCTTTTCCACTGGCACCTAGAACTGAGCCGTGCCAGAGCCATACTGCAAACTGAAAGTTTTCCATTGTAAATTATGCAAGCCATGGCCAAGTCATACCCGTGCTGACACAGCACTGCTTACTACAGGGCCGAAAGCATGACCAGTCCGAGTTGGTTGCATGACTGCCACTGATTGGTCAGAATGCATGGAGATACCAGTGATATGCATTGGCATTGATATGCATGGATAATGCGATGTATTAATGCATTCCTGATAACTTGGAACTTGTAAATTTCCAACCTCCTATTTAAAAAAGTACTATAGAACAGCTGAAAGGAATGGACTTATAATGCAAATTTACGCAAATGAATGTTCGTGCCGCTAGCGGTTGATGCTAGCACAATGCGGCTAGCAGAAATGAGCACATAGTAAATCATGATGTACACCATGTAAACAGTAAGCAAGCATCTCTTCGGTTTGTCATCAGTCCAAACCCAGCAACACCTTTACCAAGCCGGCCCTTCTGCAGTAGAAAACCGAAGTGAGCTGGAACCATGCTGTAACTATTCTCTTCTCAGTTCATGTCCGGTTTGGCTTGGTTCCTGTATGCCAGTGGAAAAGCACAATTAGAATCCAACAGCTGAGCTGTTCAGTCCTTTAGAGCACTGCTGTGACAAAACGAAACAACTATTTTGCCACACAAAACAGAAATGAAGATCAAATTTCTAAAGATGAGACTGCCAATGACCTAAAATCAGGCTTCCTCATCATGTTACGGCATTGTGAAGAATTTATGTAGTCCAGTGAAGAATTTGCTGTCTAAAGAAGTTCTTTGATAAATTGACATTCTTTAATGATACTTCCAAGCTAAACCTGAGAGCTATAACACATATTTCAATCTGATCAGGTTATTTTGATCTTAGCAGAAGAACGTAATATAAAGCATGCATGCATTTCAGAGAATATCATGACTAAAATTACTATAGTGCAAGTATAAGTATGAAAACTTGCTGACATCTGTATCTGAGACTCTTTCATGCTATTAATCATTTTTCATGTATCTAATGTTTTTAGAATCTGTCAAACCCCCTCCCTGCTCACACTATTACTATTGATATTTGATGAGATTTAAAACTTTAGCGTCTTGAATTTTCAGATATCTACTGTTTAATGTGGTTTTAAATACTTCTCTGGAAACTCCAAGTTCGTGGGATTTTTTTTGTGAATTGTGTTTCAAAACTATAATGAAAAAATATGCATTTTAAAATGTTGATGTATTACATTACTTTAGTTGAGCTCATTAATTTAATCTTAAGGTATACATTTAAAGCTGGCACTGTTGAAAATAATTAATGTCTGAGTTTCTTAATGATCTATTAACATCTTAGGTTGTAACTCTATGGTTATGATTTGGCCATTTACATGGTAACCGTTTAAAGCAGACTATATAGCGATAATAAAATTAACAAAAATGTATGTTCTCTGCCTGTCTGGTTTTTGGAATTCACTGTTGTGTCTATTTTTCAAAATAAAATGGCGTATTTTGGTTCAAGTATTCCTTCTTTATCCTTAATTAACTTGTTACAAATTATTGCTGCCCAAAAACATCTATAAGTTCATGCAACGTTATTCGAAGGTGTGAGAAAGCAGACAGCTCAGAGAATAGAATCGCTTCAGACAGGACTTTCGGAAAGGAACTGACCTTTCTTTGGGGATTCCCATGTTAATTCAAAAAGGGAATTAAAAAATTAACCCCATATACACAATCACTTTGGAAAACTACTGGGGGCTCTGGTCCTGTCAGAGAAGAGCACACAGATACAGAGGCAATGAAATGGACTGTGACGCTCACCTCACTTGCAACCCTGAACTGACAGGCCGATGCCCTCCCCCTTTCTGTCTCAGTGATAATGTGTCTCTGTTTCAGGGTTTATCTCACCTAAAACCTACTTTCCAAAAACAATTGAAATATTGTTTCATCATCAACTACCAGCATGCCTTGAAAATGGTCCTCCCATAAATCTGTATTACCAGATACCACCTGAAGGTTTAAGCAATGAGTCAGAAAGTTTTGTTTAGACAGGTCACTTTATCCATTATACAATTGGACAGCAACCTTCAAAATGCACATAAGTAAACCACACAGGCTGTATTACAAAGCGAGCAGACCTAGGTTCTTGTATAAAGTTGTGCTGGCTCCACGCATTCAGCACGATTGTGTCTGATGGATATCTGTGTGCAATGAGATCAATCTGATGAAATGTGCTGTCTAGAGGCAAATTGATTTCTTTCTTTTTGTTCTTTTGGTCACAGTAATGCAACAGGTTATATAAAAACTGATTTAAAAAATAATTATTTAAAAAGAAGAGTAATACAACAGGAACATGTATGACATTGATGCAAACCATTTACACCATAATTTGAGACTTTTTAAACTTTGTGATTACCTAAAAAAAAGATATGAGGGTCTGTCTATGGCAAATTGTGGAATTATATTTTATCAATCATTTTCATAACTAAGATGTCCTTCTAGCTGTGTGCTCTGCTGCCTGGGGTGGACTCTGTGGATGGGAGATGGATGGATTTTCACAACCAAGATAAAATAAACTTTATTGATTCCAGGGGGACATTATTTTGCATACAGCAGCAAGGTACATACTGTAAAGTGCACAGATGTATAGAGTGCAAAACAAAATCTAGCACACAGTGCGAACATTATACAAACAGAATACCAAGCAAACAGTATATTGCACTGACTATATAACCATTACTGATGTGTGCACAGGATATACAGCATTTTACTCCATTGAGTCCTTTTAAATCTTCACATTTGTTTGCAAAAATATGGCACACGTGTCGGTTTTTGGTTTGTAAAATAAGTCACATTACAGTTTGCATTATTCACAAAGAATTAAAAACCTGAAGAGAGAATCAGAAATCAGAACACTTAAGGCAAAGTACACCCCTAATACCCGACCATCACACAGAGATCCTGAGAGAACAGCCAACAGAGACTCCTGACCCCTAGATAAATATGAAGAAAACATATAAACAAGCCAATAAAAACACTTTGCAGACAGTCATAGTCAGTCAATCTATTATGTGACATAGCAGACACCACCAGCAAGCATCACTGCCAGTGCCCCCCCTCACAGGCAAAGGGCATGAAGAGAGCTCACTGTCCAAAGCAAATTTAAGTTTGCCGGGGTGGGGGAGGCAGTGGTGAAGCTTAATTAGGGGCCACATGGCATGTGACCAGCACGGTTTGTGAAGTGCCGACACCTTATAGTGGATATAAAAAGTGTACAAACCCCTGTTAAAATGCCGGGTTTTGTGATGAGACCACGATAAATCATTTCAAAACTATTCCCACCTTTAATGTGACTTAAAACCTGTACAATTCAATTGAAAAACAAACTAATCTGTTTGGGGGAAAAATATAAAAAACCGTACAATAAGCTGGTTGCATAAGTGTGCAGACCCATAAACTAGTGCTTTGTTCAAGCACCTTTTGATTTAATTACAGCGATAGGGGACCAACTGTGACGTTACCAAGAACTGGATGTCCATCCAAAACTGATGAAAAGACTAGATGAAAACTGGTCAGGGAGGCAGCCAAGAGGCCTACAGCAACACCGAAGGAGCTCCAGGAATGTCTGGCAAGTACTGATTGTGTACTACATGTGACAACAATCTCCCTTATTCTCCATATGTCTGGACTAAGGAGTAGGGTTACAAGACAGAAGCCTTTTCTTACAAAAAAATCCATCCAGGGACAGCTAAATTTTGCAAAAAAATAAAAAATACACCAAGTCTCCCAAAAGCATGTGGGAAAATGGGTTCTGGTCTTATCAAACTAAGGCTGAACTTTTTGGCCACAATTCCAAAAGGTATGTTTGGCACGAAAACAACACCATCACCAAAAGAACACCATACCCACAGTGAATTTCAGTTGAATCGTACAGGTTATAGTCACATTAAAGTTTTGAAATTTTTATCATGTTCTCATTTCTTTACATCACAAAAGCCTGTTATTTTAACAAGGGTGTGCACACTTTTTATATCCACTGCATAATCACATTACAGCCAGGGTGTCAAACTCCAGTCCTGGAGACCTGCAGCCCTGCACAGTTTTTGGTTTACCTACATTTAACACACCTGATTCAACTCCTTGTGCTAATTACCACACAGCTAAGCTAAATCATTTGTGGTGGAATAAGGAAAGAGCTAAACTACACAGGGCTCCGGCCCCCCAGGCCTGGAGTTTGACATCCCTGCATTAGAGCCTGCTAAGTGAAAAATATTAACTTACCATTTCACTTTTTAATCAAGAATGATATCTTTTACTCCTTAAAGACAAAAGAATTTTCAGCAGTTTTTCCACCGCAATTGAATTGTGTCAACAAGGCCAGAGCTACCTTTTCATGGCACCTTGGCAAAGCTTTACTTGCCCCCCCCCCCCCCCCGCCCTACAATGCAGTGAATGTTTAACTTCCTCAACACTGGTCATGTGGAGGCCCTGGGCAACCACCTATTCTGCCTATAGCTAGAGCTGGCCATGTGTGTTAAACTATCATTTAGGTTATTCTTACCTCAAAGAGTTGTATTTTCTTACTGTTCCCACAACGGCAAAAGTCATTATACCCAGGCCATAGGATAATGTGCATGCTAGAGGAGAGAGGACAAGATCAGTAATCACAACATTATCTTCAGCTATAAATACGTATTTTATGTGAAACATCTGAACAATCACTCACCATAATATGCGTTATTGTGTAAAACGGCAACAAAAATGGAAACAACAAAACCCAGGATCACATCTGTTTTAACAAAAACATCCAGTTGTGTTTCATAAAATTACATACATCAGCATGATCCACCAGGAAACAGAGAAACATACCTGTTTTATCATAAGGCCGCCCTTGGCAGGATGTTGTATGAGCAGGTAGGTCTGCAGAGTACATTACAGTCGGCTAGCTTACTGAGCAGCACACGGTTATGTACAGTCTGGTCAGCAAGACATACTTGTGTTAAATGGAAACTTGTATATTTTATGTCTGTTAAAAGAACTGTATACACACTGCTCAAAAAAAATTAAAGGAACACTTTAAAAACACATCAGATCAAAATGGGGGGAAAAAATC